GTGGTCATTTGCAGATGTGCAGAGAAGCAAAATATTTGAGTTACCGAAGAGGCATGTTCACAGATGAGGTTGAACAAGGTGACCCTTTGCCTTCTCATTTCAGCTCTCATACTGTAAAAAATGTCCTTTTTATGGTCACCTGGTGCCATATTTTTTACATTTTTGTGCTTTTTGTTGGTGATTTTGCTTTTTACAGTGGCTTCCGAGAATAGTGCTCACGTGCTATCTTGTGTTCTAAAGCACAGAAAGGCTGCAGTGTGTCTTACAGAGAAAAATACAAGATGAGCTTCATTTAGGCATGAGTTATAGGAGTTTTGGCCACGAATTCAAAGTTAATGGATCAACAATACAATATATATTAAATAAGGTGTCTTTGAACAGGAACACACGTAAAACAAGGTTATATATTGGCCAGTTGACAAAGATATTGTGACCAGAGGCTCACAGGAACCTAACCCTGTATGTCCCCTAGGAGCAATGGTGCTGTATTTGAGAATTTCGTGTTCACAGCAACTTTTTGGAATCTAACTCCCAGAGATAATGAGAATCGACTGTAGTTCTTTATCATTTGTCACATCCTAGACCCTAAGACATTTGCTCCTAATTGCTGTTCACAAATTCTACCTCCAACCACTTAGGGAAGTTCACAAGAGCATGAAGACGTGTCCACAAGGCTGAATGTGCAGCTCTGTCTCAACCACTGTGATTGCCAAGTGAAGAGATGTAAGTTCCTTGTAACTGGCAGCGTGGTATCCCAGTGATAACCGTGATGGAGTTAGTACTATGAGCAGTTGGTAGGAGAAACTCGACCATTTCTTTCAGAGGCAGAGTCCAAGAAGGTATGAGTAATGGCCAACAAGTCCAACAGCTGCAAACTGTTTACACATGACAATTTGCTGGATAAATCAGAGTTTATACAGTTGTGTGTTGTTTACTCCTTAATCTAGAAAGGATATGGTCAACTCTGAGTTCAAGAATTATGTGCTTACACCATGCAGTTTTCTACTGAAAAAGAAAATAATTAAACCTCCTCACCCAATTTCCTCTCCAAAATTGCAGTCCTACCAAGGAAAAGAAAAGAAAGGAGAAGGGAGAATGTCCACACTGAGTTGACGTGGCTGGGAAGATGGGTTAGGAGACTCTGGCTTTTCTAAATGAATCCGATAGACTTCTCCAGGCATCAGAAAAAATCTTTACAGCTCTTCATTTCTACCGTCAGCATTTTGGATTTTTTTTTTTAAGTTTTATTTATTTATTAGAGAGAGGGCATGGGCAGGAGGGGCAGAGGGAGATGGGGAGAAAGTCTCAAGCAGACTCCATGCTGAGCTTGGAGTCTGACACAGGACTTGATCTCACAACCCCAAGATCATGACCTGAGCCAAAACTAAGAGTCAGATGCTCAACCAACTGCATGATCCTGGAGTTAGCATCGCACAAACCCCTTGAGTCCTTTTTATCTTTAGTTTAAAAAACATTTGGACTTAAACACCTGAAACCTTTATTTTACCTGACCCACAGTTCTGCATAAGCACACATTAAGATTTATGAAAATCTTCGAAACCCCCAAAGATCACTCATTGTTGTCGGTCACCAAAGCTTTGGTGAGGGAGGCTCAGGGTTTGCCTGGAGGAACACTGGTGTTGGAGAAAGAGAGTCCTGTACTTGTATCTGGGTCTGGGCTTGGTCAGCCATATAACTGGTTACTGGGCCTCCATTTTCCTGTCTGTAAAATGGGGCCAATAACCATACCCACTGAGTAAAGGATGATCATGCATTCCAAGTCGTGCTTGCCCCTTGAGAGGACCCTAATAAATGCCAGTTGCCTTCCTGCTTCCCTTTTTGTTCCCAGGAGCTCTGCGAACATGTGGAATTGATGGTTTTAACATTTCAAAAATAAGTCCTATGTTGTTTTTTTTCTTTTAGGCAAAGAATTGTAAGTCATGGAAGCGTAAAGGCATGGAAAACACCACTCTAGGGTCTTGCTGTCTGTGTAGGGAATTCCAGTGCCGTCGGAAGGTCCCTCTGGTGCCACAGCTTCAGCCTCCCCTCCCCTCCACACTGCTCCTCCGTTCTTGCCAGGGAACAGGGAATAGTGGTGGGGCTTTGTTTCTCGTTGAAGCGCATGGCTCAGTTGCCATTTATTGCCTGCAGCTCTTACTTTGACCACAACCTGGGATTTTCTCCAGACTTTGATTTGTGAGTTCTAAGCATTTCCACACCGTGGGTCCTGAAGGCTCAAGGCTCCTGCCCTGTGTCTCAGGGGCCATCTTCTCTCATGTGCTTTGCCTTGCTCGCTTTTCTGACCAGGCTGTGCATGATTGGAATACATCCTTCAAAGCACTAGACCTTAATCCACCTCCGTGTGAGAACATTTCTCATAAATAAACCGGTCCTTTGTGTTCTCGTTAAAAAAAAAAAAAAAAATCATCTGTGCCTTGGAAAAATTAAAATGCAATTATTGGAAGGCTCTTTGCTTAGCTGTTTCCCTAATGTTGCGTGTTACCTAATTACAGTGGAAACTCAGGCCCACCGGCTCGGGGTGCTGAGTGCGGCGGAGGCCAGGGAACGTGTTCGTGTGGCATCAGAGTCTGCTGGTTCAGCAGCCGCTCTTGGGACCTCAAGCTCAGCACAGCTGGCTTCAGATGCCTCCCTTCCCCATTCACCAGATGGCTTCTCCCGGGGGCGTGCGCATCTGATTGCTCCGATTGATGCATTGACCCAGGAGGCCGAGGCCCGGGGCCAGGAGAGCACTGCTGGGTGTGCATTTGAGGGTGTGCGTGTGTTGTATGCACATACCATCCGTGCTATGTAGAAGCATTCCACCTACTCACTGCTGGACTTGGTGCAGCAACCCACAAAGCATTTTTAAACAAAACCAGAATAATGACCTTGAAGGCACCGAGGAGCCGAATCATGTCCTTTCTGGTTGTCATTTTTCTCCTTCCAATAGTCTGCATTGCTGGATTATGATGTCCACGTGCAAAAAAAAAGAAAAAAACACATCTTGAGGCCAACTAACATTTCGTTGTTTTTTTTTCCTTTTCTCTCTCTCTCTTTTTGTTTTTTTCTTAATTCTTCAACCTTGGCCAAGCACGTTGCATGTTTCCAAATAAAAATAGACCTGCGCTGTGGTGCCGGCTCGCTGTGCCGGATGTGAGCTGAGCCCCCGAGCAGCATCTCCCTGCAGAGCAGAGGGGGGGAGCAAGGGACCTCTGCCTCTTGGGGCTCCTGCGGGACCATCAGGAGGAAGGAGGGAGTGCCCTGTGTGCGGCTGAGGTCACCCTCCGTTTGAATTTGATGTCCACAAAGAGGTTAGGTGTCGCTTTTGGGGCGCAGGGCAAGAGGATCATTTTTAATTAATTCCCCCTGTCCATTCTCCTCCGCCTTCTGCCTGCTCCTTCCCTCTCCAGTTCCTGTGCCTGCAAGGCCCGTGTCCGCTCCTGAGACCTCTGGTGCACGTTAGCACAAGGGGCCCTCCAAACGGGGGCAGCGTGCAGTTTAGGGGGGCACGGCGTGGAAAACGGGCGCCTTGCGCCGGTGGCCACAGTCCCCCCCAGGGCACAGCGCTGGTGGGGAGAGTCTGGCTGGGAGAGCCTCCGCCCGCCTGGTCACCAGGTACCCCTGGGCAGCACCTGCCTGGCCACGGGGCCACTGGAGCCATAGCCCGCCCCACAGCCCTTGTGAACTCACAGCCCCCAGTCGCCCTGGGCCACCACCCCCTCATGTGTCTCATGCTGTATGAAGGGGTCAGAGGCTGTGGTCAGCGGGCGTGCAGATGCTTCTGGCCCTTGCACAGGTTCCATCCCAAGCCCTGGGAGGGGGTGTGGGTCTGTTCCCTCCCCTCCCTCACCCCCCCTGCTGTGTTGCGCTAAGCCCCGGGGGCACCTGGGTAGTGAGGGGTGCCTGTCCCGGGTGCAGAGATAGCAGGAGCTAACAGGAGACGTGGAGAGCTGCCGTGGGGAGTGGCAGCTGATACATGGCCAGTGCGTTCCTCAGGTGTGGCCTGGCTAAGGCCCTCCTGTTGTTCACACACGCCTTTCTGCCGGGATAACCTTTCTCCCCTAGAAGACTCCCCTCCATTCTCCAGAAGCTGGCAGCCTCCTGTTGCTTGCTCACACCCTTCCCCTGCATATGCCTCCCACCCGGGTGCCTGGGTTTGGTTCTTGTCTCCGCGGCTAAGGGACCCCAGTCAGGTGTGTGTGGAGATGAGCGAGTTGGTCCGTGGGGCTCATCCTCACTGATGACTCCCAGGCCCTCCCTCTTCCGGCATTCTCTCTCTCTCTCTCCCTCCCTCCGGGTCCCGGTCTCATTCTCTCCCGACGGTTCCTGAAACATTTTTCTGAATACCGTGCACAGCCTTCCCTGGCCTGCTTTCTGGGAGCCTAGCTGCTGCCCTGCTCCGTGCTCCCACCCTGAGGGCACTGGCCCTAGCAGGGCTAGCACTGTCAGGAGGGAAAGAAGGTGCCTGGGGTGCAGAACTTAAGGAGGCACCCCCTCCCTCTCTGGGCGTGCAAGTGCAGGGTCAGATCTGGAGAGGGGGACCCTCCTTCAGCTTTTCACGCTGGGTGCCTTGCCTTGCTGGCCTCACCTCGTCCCAGCCCTGCATGTTGAAGTTGGAGAGCATCCCACTGCCACGCGCCAATCCAACTTACCTTTCCCCTCTGAGCCTTGGTCTCCCTCTGTTACCGCCACCCTGGGTAATTAGGATTCAATTAGATAACGCGTGGAAACGCAGCACATTGCCTGACACTATTAAATGCTTGGGAGATCTGCCTGGTGGTTATTATTATCACTAATGATTTATCGGTGAATCCAAAAGCAGTAGACCCCAGCCCATCCCCCGCAGGAGCTCTGGAATGACGGCTCCAGCCCTGTGGCCACATCATCGTTCCAGTCTGCCCCTCCTCTCCATCATGCGTGATGTTGACCATATGGACTTGCCTGGCGAGGTCAGGGCCTCCCACGTTCTGAAGAGGATGTGTTTTGTGTCTCTGCTGCAGGAATTGCTTACTTAGGAGGTGTGTGCAGTGCTAAGAGGAAATGCGTGCTTGCCGAAGACAATGGTCTCAATCTGGCCTTTACCATCGCTCATGAGCTGGGCCACAAGTAAGTATCAGACTCTGTATTGTTCTGCCTCTTCCAATTCCTTTCTGAATATATATATATATATATATATATATATATATTTTTTTTTTTTCCTCTTGAATTCCCAAAGTTTTAAAACAGTGATGCTCTTGGCCTTTGCTTCTTCTGTAACACAGACCTAGGCCAGCAAGCCTGGGTCCCAGCCCTTCAGGGAACCCAGAGAGATTAGTGACCAGATGGTCTCTGAGACTTGCAGTGTTATTTTCGTGTTCGTGTCTATTCTTAGTGCACACACTATAGAGGGAAGAGGTTTGTCTCAGAGTGTCTTCTTTGGTTGCATTTCCTTTCCTGGACCAGCATGATCTTTGATTCACTCTATCGTTCAAATAATGGGATTTATCTTCATACTGTTGACTTTCTATTTCCTTGAGAGCCGGTTTCAAACAAGGCCCAACTGTCTGAAGGCAGAATGTCAGTGTCTTAGTTTTAAAGAATTATCAGCTGCTGCCTTTGTACATCCCCGGAGTCGGGGAGAGCCATAGAACCTCAGAGCCCAAAGATGTTGTGGAAAAGATCTGAGGCAGCCTCCCGGTTTCTCAGAGGAGGAAACAGTAGGTCAGAGGGGTTGAGTGGCTGGCCTAAGATTGAGATCACCTGTAGGAAGTCTCAGGTGGCAGAAAGCCAACCGACTCGAAAACTGTGGCCTGAGGCTTTACTATTTCTCCGGCAGTAGGTGTCTGTTTTGGATTTCTCTGAAGGAAAAATTGTGGTATGACTACACGAGAACTTAAAAAATAAATACGTAAATCGAGGAGGTCAGAGCATGTAGAACAATAGGAAAATTTATATTGGGTTGGATAGAACAAAATTAAATGGAAATCTAGTTCTTGGTGAAAAAATTTAAAGCATTTCCTAATGACCTATGGAGTAAGATGCCTGGGACCCAAAATGTGAGCTCAGCCTTCTGCAAAAGTAAAGTCAATCTATAAGGAGGACAAAAGCAGTTTCCTCTAGGGCTAGCCATATCTGTGGATTTATATATATATATTTTGCCTTGTTTTGTTTATCTCGTCCCATTCTCATTTTTTGCACTCCCGTAGATGGGTTTGGTAGTTAGCTTTTCTGTGCCTATTGAGTATCATGACGTGAGTACAGTGAGTGATAATAATCCCGTGTGTATTTCCTGGGATGAAGGCAGAAATAACATGTCATCAGCTAAAAGCAGCTAAATGAGCACTTGCCTCTAAGTACATAGTTCTTTTATCTCGACAGTATTTTTTAAATACTGGCCGCAGCCCTTTGCCCACACTTTTTTTTTTGCCTATACTACTAGGAAATAATTTAAAAAAATTAATTACAGGCAAATATCTATTCATATTTCTGATTTGTTAACAACAACAACAACAACAATGCCAAAAGCTGTAGCCGAGAGTGGTTGCTGAGAGAAAAGTGTAAATCAGTATGGCTTTGGCAAACATCCTCTCTTCTCATCTTTGGGCCAAATGTCCCACCCAGCCCGTCCTAGTTCCTCAGAATCAAGGACCTCTCATGGTCTTGAGAATGCAGTTGTCAAAACATTTTCCGACACGTGGGTTGTCATGGACTTTTGAATGCATCTATTTATATGAACTACAAGATTCCATGCAGCCTTCAGTACCAGGGCCCACGCTGGAGTGCTTTTTGCACCCGCGTGTGAGGACACACGTGCCGCACGGAGGCCTTTCTCCTTGGACGTGAGGAACACAGAGGGCCATTTTCTCCCCACTGACCTGTGTGATTGTGCGGGGACCACTGGTGTCTGAGCGCAGGAGGTCTGCCGAGATGAATGGTGAGATTCAGTCCGACTCCAGTGGCCTTTAGCTACAGTCTGCTTCAATTTCTTGGAGGGCCCTTTATAGCTTGCTGTTGCACTCTAATTACCTACAAAAACAAACGCCTAATTGTTCATCAAAGCCAATAAATTCTGCAAGCATTTGGCCTTGCCCCTAGTTGGGTGATTAGAGTTTTCCCAGGGAAGTCTGTTGTCTCTGATTATTTGCGAGCAATGGGAAGCAGGCCCCCCAGGGACGAAGCCACAGTCTCTCCATCTGCAGACCCTTCTGGTCAGCCGGGCTTAGAGAGCCGCAGTCGAGGCTGTGTGGAGGCTTAACAAGAGGGATCAGCCTGTACTCTGACTGAAGCCACTGGCCAGGCTGCTTCACAGATCTGAAGCCCGGTGCATATTTTGGAATAGAGAGGAGTCATTTAACATCTCGTTCCTTAAGTAGGTGTGCACTAAGAGAATGGGATGGTATTCTCAGTGGACCTGAGGCACTGGTCTGTGCTCTTCAAGAAAATTTCTCAGTGAATGCTTTAGAAAATGAAAAAGAATACCCTTCTATGCACCCTTAGAACGTCCCCAGAAGGGGTCACCCTCTGGTCCCTAACCATTTAATACTGATGAAGTGAAACTTCTCTTCTGAAGGTTGGGTGTATGCCTTTGCCCCTGGGCAAATGTACGCGTGGCCCTTCTGTTGCTTACCCAGTATATCTCATATAAGGATCAGTGCGAGCAGTTACCCCGACTCTGAATGTTAGGAGAAAAATTCACTTTCCATGTGAGGTACACGTTGCATTTATCAGAAAATGAGAGTCGTCGTATATGTTAACCTGATTTTCTCCCAGCTTTGGCTGTCAGAAAACACAAAGCGAATGTCAGGCTCATTTTCAGTAATTAACTCATCTGGATCCTGGAATTCTGTTTCTCCTCCCTCTTTCTGTGTCTCTCTTTGTATGAATGATCGTATTTTACATATTGTAATTCAAAAATAATTTCTTTGGTACTGTAAACTGTCTCCAATCCAATCTGCAATCATGTGGGTTCTAAGTTATGAATTAAATGAAAAATTCTTGCCATGGTAATATCAATAATTGTGCTTAGGACAGGAATTAGTAATGTACTAAGGATGTTTAAGTCAAATCAGATCTCATTTACTGAACACCTGCTGTGTTAGATGCTGTGCAGTCATTGTGCTATTGATCAGTTCTATGGGGCAAGTATTATTTAGCTTTTTTTATAGATTAGGAAACTAGTATTTTTAAAAATTTCTAGTCTCTGCTTGAAATGGTTTGAGATCACTTCTATGATAATATACCCATACATCAGGACTATTAAAGAAAGGACCCACATTCTAAAAGAGGGGCAATAAGGAGAAAACTTGTTATATATCCAAAAAACCAAGGTACCTCCGGATTGCTGCCAACCAAGGCAGAAAGGACAATCAGTGGTGTCCTAGCTGCAGAAGAAAGCCAGTGTGTCAGCAAGAGGGACTTCCCTAGGAAACTCAAGTACCCCAGCTGCAACCAACAGCTTTCTGATTACCTGGGAAAGAAGAGGTGTGGAAAAGACTGCAGCCCTGGCTTTGGACGGGTCTGAAGGATTTGCAGTTCCTGGTGGGGGTCAAGGAGGAGAAGCTGGGAGGAACTGTTGGCTCCACACAGAAGCCATGATGCCAGTGACTTTGAGGTTTTTTTTTCTTTTTTCTTTCTTAAGATTTATTTGAGAGGGCGCCTGGGTGGCTCAGTTGGTTAAGCGACTGCCTTCGGCTCAGGTCATGATCCTGGAGTCCTGGGATCGAGTCCCACATCAGGCTCCCTGCTCAGCAGGGAGTCTGCTTCTCCCTCTGACCCTCCTCCCTCTCATGCTCTCTGTCTCTCATTCTCTCTGTCTCAAATAAATAAATAAAATCTTTAAAAAAAAAAAAAAAGATTTATTTGAGAACGAGCAGGGAGGAGGGGCAGAGGGAGAGGGGGGAAAAAGTCTTCAGCAGGCTCCTCGCTGAGCGCAGAGCCTGACACGGGGCTCGATCTCACCACCCCCAGATCATGACTCAAGCTGAAACCAAGAGTCAGACGCTTCACTGACTGAGCCACTCAGGCTTCCCAACTTTGAGGTTTTCTGATGAGCCTTCATGACCTTAGTTGCCTACTTGCTGGTGAAAGACTGCCTGGTAGGCATCTGCATTTACCTTTTGGTAGTGTGCCTTTGGGAAGGCAGCTGTCTCCCCATCTTGCCACTTGAGAAACCCAACTGAAAATGAGGGACTGCTTCATCCTGCAGTGACCAGGAGAGAGGAAGAGCTCCTGAGTGCAAGAACATGGTGGTGATGAACCACTCTTCTTCCAGGGAGCTGTAGCTGACGGCTGTTAGTGGTTATAACCGAACTGATGAAGTTGGGGGGCCATTCCTTGAGAGATACAGCGCAGCTGGGCCAGCGCTGCCCAGGTGTTTTCCCTCAGGAAACCAGGACAGGGTGCCTTGTGGTAGACCTCAGTGTCCAAGATGTTTATCAATATTTGGTTTTAAAGAGAAAGAGGGATAGTGAGAAGCAAGCATTTGTTTCTCTTGGGCAGGCGCATGCTTTTGAGGATTGGTCATGGGAAGGACTCTCCCCCGACGAGGGTTAGAAGCCCAGGTCCACGCCGACGGCCCATGAGAAAAGCCAAAACCAAAATCAAATGATAACCTCACGGATCAAGGAGGGAGTTGGTGGTGACTTTAGTATAATATTAAAATAACCGGTATAATAATTCTACTGGAATTTTAGCATATATTGTTTGCTGGGATTTGGAAGTTTTAGGGTAAAAGGGAGAAAGGAAGTAGTTCTAGGACTGCTGGTGGGAATTCCTTTTGTTTGCGGGGGTGGGGGTGGGGGGTGGAGGGGGGCGTGATTAGGCCCAGAGGAAGCAGTTGACAGTGGGAGGCCAGGAGGGCACAGAGCTGAGTCTCAACTGGACATTTGGGGCCTGGGGAGACCCAGAACACCATGCATGCAGTTTGCTTCTCAATCAGGTAAGACCGAGAGCTCTCAGGGAACGTCTAAACACAGGCTCTTCTAGATGGGGTGCTGAGAGAGGGGAGGGAAACCGCATAGTGCACACTTGGCCACCCACATACAGGGAAAAAATAAAAGACCTATCTTTATAGGTAGAAACAAAGAGCTTTCTCTTGCAGAAAATAAATCTCTGCTTCTGTTGGATTT